CTCAATTTTATTGCTGCAAAGAACAAAGCCAAACACAATTTCTCAACCGAAGAATATTTCACTTCGGTCGGATTCAAAGCTCTACTCAAATAATAAACAGCTTGTTCTCGTTTATTACTATTCTCTTGTGCCAGCAGACAGCCAATTGACTCATCTGCGGCGGATATATACAGTAATAAAGGTTTATTCTTAACTGGAGGAACCAACACAGGTGGCTTGGATAAGTATTCCTTGATGGCATCAAAGGCGGCTTGGTGCTGCCTCTCCCATTTAAAATCTGCATCAGGCTGCAACTTCAAAAGAGGTGAAAAGACACGAGTTTTGCCCGCGAAATTAGAGATAAACCTCCTTAAGAAATTAACTTGACCAAGAAGCCTTTGTAATTCCTTTTTATTTTGTGGTGGCCGCGCTTCAATTACGGCCCTTGCTTTGTTTTTGTCCACCTCTAGGCCTCGTTCATGGACCAGAAAACCCAAAAAATTCCCTGCTGTAACACCAAAAGCACACTTAAGAGGATTCATCTTCAAACCATGATGTCGCATTCTTTCAAAAGCTTTCCTCAAGTGCTCCAAATGTTCTTCATCCTCTATGGATTTAACAACAACATCATCGATATAAATCTCCATGAAGCGGCCAATCATATCATGGAAAATTGCATTCATGGCCCGCTGATATGTAGCTCCTACATTTTTCAACCCAAACGGCATCACGACCCATTCATACGTACCTATGTTTCCAGGGCAACGAAACGCCGTTTTACTTATGTCTTCCTCTGCAATAAAGATCTGATTATAGCCACTATGCCCATCCATAAAAGATAAAATGCGATGGCGTGCAACCCCATCAACAAGTAAATCTGCTACTGGCATGGGGTATTCATCCTTTGGTGTGGCTAGATTTAAGTTCCGAAAATCAATGCAGACTCTGAGCTTTCCATTCTTCTTTAGTACTGGAACAATATTAGACAACCATTCTGAGTACCTGGCTGTCCGTATAAAACCAACTTTATACAGCCGCTCCACTTCTTCCTTCACATTCAAAATCACTTCTGGAGACATACAGCGTGGCGGCTGTTTGTACGGCTTATATCCTTTGTTGATTGGTAGTCTATGCTCTACCAACTCTCGGTCTAAACCTGGCATCTCAGAATAATCCCAGGCAAAGCAGTCTTTGAATTCATGTAGTAAACAGATTATTTGATCTCGCATCTTTGGCGGCAGCAAGCCACTGACAAAAGTAATGCGTGGCTCTGCCTCCGTTCCCAGATTAACTTCCTTCAATGGATCTTGTACATCAGCCCTGAGGTCATCTAGCTTTGCAGGGGCCAGATCTAACTCCTCCATTGTGACTCCGTCGGTATGGATGTCTTCCTCACCTTCATGTACCACCTCCGACAGATTTGCTTTTGTATTTCTTTCAGCAAAATAGGCCGCTAATTTCTTTAGAATTTCAGATACGGCCTCCTTTCTTTCTTTGTTTATTCTGGATTTCTTCATAATAACTCTTCAATTTTGAGCTCCTCTTGTGGCCTATATGGAATAATGGCAGTAGGCCGCAAGAGTTCATTGCATACCTCGTCAACCACATATTTAGCCAAGGTAGGCTTGTTGCAAGCAGTGATTCCACGAGGTCTTCCTTGTCTATCCATGCCGAAGAAACGGATGGTTCCTACGTCTTCATCATAGTACCGTGCTTCCACCATATTGGAATTGGCTAAGAATGGTCTGTTGTCAGCATAGACCACCTCAGTTTTGCCTCCATTCCAAAAAATGAGTCTTTGATGGAGAGAAGATGGAACACACCAATTCGAATGGATCCAATCACGTCCCAGTAATGCATTATAAGTTGCAAAAGAGTCTACAACAAAGAAAGCACTCATTGACGTCTTGCTGCCGACAGTAAGTGCAACCGGCAGCACTCCTTTTGATTTGCTAACACCACCTGTGAAATCACTGATGGTTACATCAGTATAAACCAAGTCCTCAGAATTTTTACCCAAATTCCTCAGCATAGAAGAAGGTATGACGTTGACTGCTGCTCCATTGTCAACAAGGACTCGATTCACTGGAACTCTATCCATGTGAGCTGAAATGTAGAGTGGCTTTATATGACGAGCCACATTTTCATCTGGTTTGTTAAAGATAATTTGTTCTGAAAGGATATTATGCTCCTCTTCCTCTTCTTGGGCTGGAACCTCTATCACTTCTTCCTCAACAAGCATGCTGCCATCGGAAACATGGGTAGTCTCGCTGCCCTTGGCTTGATAAACCAAAGGAAGTGTGAGAACCAGACAAGAGAGATTAATAGAGATGCTACCAATCTGCAGAACATCCATGTCCTCAAGAAGATTATCATCGCTAGTCAACTCTGCTTGTTGATCTGCTTCAAAGGTTGCCTTCAACTCATTTTCATTAACGATCAATGAGGTGAGCTTAGGAGGTGGCACCTTTGGCTGAGATTCATTCTGGACAGCAACCTCTTGACTTTCTTTTCTCTTCCACACCATCTTTCCCTTTGCGGGAGAACGTTGTGGAACCTTAACTTCCTCAGTAGCTAACTGTTGACGACGACGTGCCTCTGCTCGCTTTCGCTGCAACCTTCTTCTCAAAGTTCTAGGATTTCTCACAGGTTCTTTTGAAAACTTTGGATGCACGACCTTCTCCCACCTTTTACTTGGAGGTCGCTGTGGAGGCTTAACCATACGAGAGTGATCTGTATGTCGAGCCTCCTTCATCTTGGATTTGGATGCATAAATTCTAGCAGCATGGTGTTGCCCCCCGAGCCTCTGATTCTGTTG